CAGAAAAACACGCGCTCTGTTTACCTCTCTGTCGACAACAAGAAGACTCCTTTCTCTCTTAGTCAGCGGCGAGAGCTCCTGACCATCTCCTCTCCACTCCTCTTCAATACATTGAAGCGAGCGTTCGATCAAAAAGAAGGGACGGAGCTCTTCCAAACTTCAAACCTTGACAAGCGAAGTCTGGTCCTCCCCTGCGGCTTTCAAAAGGCAAAGAGAAGCCCTCGACCTCATCCTCGGAAACAAGCAGAGAACTCGATCCAAGTTACTCTTGGTAAGGAAAGACAGCTTCTTTCTAGAAGAGAGCTCCTTTGCCTCTCGGTTAGAGGAAGAGATACACTGGCAAGAGAGGACAGAGCTCCAGCAGCTTCCAAAAAGAAAAGCCCTCTCTACCTCGTCCTCGACAAGAAGAGACTGAGAGCTTCCTCCGATCTAATGAGACAGAAGCAAGCTCCATCTCAATAAAAAACAAAGAAGGCCCTCCAAGATATCGAGAAAGCAGAGAGCTCCGTTTACCCCTTAGTCGGCAAGAAGAGACCTCCTTCTTTCTAGGCAAAAGGAGATGCTGACTATCCCCTCTGCCCTTTCAAAAGACGAAGAGAGCATACGCTCAAAGAAAGGGTGGAGCCCTTCAAACAAAGAGGTTTGGCCCTCTTGAAAAGAAACAGACCTCGTCCACCTCATGCTCTAAAAGTAAAGAAGAGAGCTCCCCCCGACATTTTCGTTGTAAGAGAAGCGAGCTTCTTTCTAGAGAGCTCCATTGACTCTTGGTAAGTCGCTTCTCAACTTTGAGAAGAGTGAAGAGACCTCACCCCCAGCCAGAGAGGACAGAGACGCCCCTACCCTCAACAATGAAGCAATACCTTATCATCCAAAACCAAAAGAAAGCTCCCTCCAATTTCATAAAGAAGAAGAAGGCTGCTCCTTTACCACTCGGTAAAGGAGGAGATCCCGTGGCAGGTCCCCTACCCCCAACGACCCAGAAGACAGGCCCCTCTAGCTTCTCGAGAAAAATTACATAAGCCCTTCCAACTTCGCGAAAGAGGAGATCGCTCCACTTATCCCTCAGTCGGAGCTCCTGACTATCCCTTCTTCCTCTTCAGAAGTTGGACTGGAGCTTACCAGAGCTCCCCCAACTTCCAAAGACAAAAGCAAAAGAAGAAGAGACTGAGAGCTTCCTCCAACCTGATGAGACAGAAGAGAGCTCCATCTACAAAATGAAAACCATGTACCTACAAGTTATCGAGAAAAAGGAGAGCTCCGTTTACCCCTCAGTCGGCAAGAAGAGACCAAGCTTCTCTACAGGTAAAAAACGAGATCCTGACTATCCCTTCTACCTTTTCAAAATATGGAAGTGAACCTAAGAGATGGTGGAGCTCCCACCCAGCCTCTTTTCCTGCTTTCAACCTTGAAAACTCCCCCACCTCATGCCGCCAACAAGAAGAGAGCTCCTCCCCAAGAGTTCCGTGGTAAGAGAAGAGGGCTTCTTTCTAGAAGAGATGTCCATTATCTATTGGTAAGCCGCTTCTCAAGACTCGACTTCACTCCTAGCCACAGAGGACAGAGACGACCCCCCCCAACAGTGTGTGAGTTCTCTACCTAATCATCGAAAACAGGAAGAAAGCTCGCTCCAATTTCACAAGAAAGAAGAGGGCTGCTCCAAAAACCTCTTGGTAAAGGAAGAGATCCCGTTGAAGGTCCTCCACCCCAACAATTGAAAAGACAAGCCCCTCTAACTTCTCAGAAAAACACGCGCTCTGTTTACCTCTCTGTCGACAACAAGAAGACTCCTTTCTCTCTTAGTCAGCGGCGAGAGCTCCTGACCATCTCCTCTCCACTCCTCTTCAATACATTGAAGCGAGCGTTCGATCAAAAAGAAGGGACGGAGCTCTTCCAAACTTCAAACCTTGACATTCGAAGTCTGGTCCTCCCTTGCGGCTTTCAAAAGGCAAAGAGAAGCCCTCGACCTCATCCTCGGAAACTAGCAGAGAACTCAATCCAAGTTACTGTTGGTAAGAGAAGACAGCTTCTTTCTAGCAGAGAGCTCCTTTGCCTCTCAGTAGAGAAAGAGATACACTGGCACGAGAGGACAGAGCTCCAGCAGCTTCCAAAAAGAAAAGCCCTCTCTACCTCGTCCTCGACAAGAAGAGACTGAGAGCTTCCTCCAGTCTAATGAGACAGAAGCAAGCTCCATCTCAATAAAAAACAAAGAAGCCCCTCCAAGACATCGAGAAAGAAGAGAGCTCCGTTTACCCCTTAGTCGGCAAGAAGAGACCTCCTTCTTTCTAGGCAAAAGGAGATGCTGACTATCCCCTCTACCCCTTCAAAAGACGAAGAGAGCATACGCTCAAAGAAAGGATGGAGCCCTTCAAACAAAGAGGTTTGGCCCTCTTGAAAAGAACCAGAAGTCGCCCACCTCATGCTCTAAAAGAAAAAGAAGAGAGCTCCCCCTGACATTTTCGTTGTAAGAGAAGAGAGCTTCTTTCTAGAGAGCTCCATTTACTCTTGGTAAATCGCTTCTCAACTTGAGAAGAGTGAAGACACCTCACTCCTAGCCAGGGAGGACAGAGACGCCCCCCCCACCCTCGACAATGTATGAGTTCTCTGCTCTCTACCTAACCATCGAGAACCAAAGGAAAGCTCCTTCCAATTTCAGAAAGAAGAAAAGGGCTGATCCTTTTCCACTCGGTCAAGGAGGCCGTCACCCGCCGGGATTCATTGAAAAAATAAAGACCCTGGCCAGGCCCGGCCGTCGCCCAGCAGGAATTTTTAAACTTTTTGAAAAAATAAAGACAAATTTCTCAATAATTTCAATTTTTTCAAAAATTTCCTTCAAAAGGAAAAATTATTGAAAAAATTGAAATTTTTGAAACAATAAAGACCCTGGCCAGGCCCGGCCGTCGCCCACCAGGAATCTTTAAAATTTTTGAAAAAATTGAAATTTTTGAAATTTTTGAAAAAATAAAGACAAATTTCTCAATAATTTCATTTTTTTTCAAAAATTTCCTTCAAAAGGAAAAATTTTTGAAAAAAATGAAATTTTTGAAAAAATAAAGACCCTGGCCAGGCCCGGCCGTCGCCCACCAGGAATCTTTAAAATTTTTGAAAAAATTGAAATTTTTGAAATTTTTTCAATAATTTCAATTTTTTCAAAAATTTCCTTCAAAAGGAAAAATTTTTGAAAAAATAAAGACCCTGGCCAGGCCCGGCCGTCGCCCACCAGGAATCTTTAAAATTTTTGAAAAAATTGAAATTTTTGAAATTTTTGAAAAAATAAAGACAAATTTCTCAATAATTTCAATTTTTTCAAAAATTTCCTTCAAAAGGAAAAATTATTGAAAAAATTGAAATTTTTGAAAAAATAAAGACCCTGGCCAGGCCCGGCCGTCGCCCACCAGGAATCTTTAAAATTTTTGAAAAAATTGAAATTTTTGAAATTTTTGAAAAAATAAAGACAAATTCCTCAATAATTTCAATTTTTTCAAAAATTTCCTTCAAAAGGAAAAATTTTTGAAAAAATTGAAATTATTGAAAAAATAAAGACCCTGGCCAGGCCCGGCCGTCGCCCACCAGGAATCTTTAAAATTTTTGAAAAAATAAAACAAATTTCTCTGGTGGGCGACGGCCGGGCCTGGCCAGGGTCTTTATTTTTTCAACAATTTCAATTTTTTCAAAAATTTTTCCTTTTGAAGGAAATTTTTGAAAAAATTGAAATTATTGAGAAATTTGTCTTTATTTTTTCAAAAATTTCAAAAATTTCAATTTTTTCAAAAATTTTAAAGATTCCTGGTGGGCGACGGCCGGGCCTGGCCAGGGTCTTTATTTTTTCAAAAATTTCAATTTTTTCAAAAATTTTTCCTTTTGAAGGAAATTTTTGAAAAAATTGAAATTATTGAGAAATTTGTCTTTATTTTTTCAAAAATTTCAAAAATTTCAATTTTTTCAAAAATTTTAAAGATTCCTGGTGGGCGACGGCCGGGCCTGGCCAGGGTCTTTATTTTTTCAAAAATTTCATTTTTTTCAAAAATTTTTCCTTTTGAAGGAAATTTTTGAAAAAAATTGAAATTATTGAGAAATTTGTCTTTATTTTTTCAAAAATCTCAAAAATTTCAATTTTTTCAAAAATTTTAAAGATTCCTGGTGGGCGACGGCCGGGCCTGGCCAGGGTCTTTATTTTTTCAAAAATTTCAATTTTTTCAAGAATTTTTCCTTTTGAAGGAAATTTTTGAAAAAATTGAAATTATTGAGAAATTTGTCTTTATTTTTTCAACAATTTCAAAAATTTCAATTTTTTCAACAATTTTAAAGATTCCTGGTGGGCGACGGCCGGGCCTGGCCAGGGTCTTATTTTTTCAAAAATTTCAATTTTTTCAATAATTTTTCCTTTTGAAGGAAATTTCTGAAAAAAATTGAATTTTTTGAAACTGGTTTCTGTATTCTCGTATCCCCTATGCGTCTTTCGAAACAACCGAGACCTGCAAATCATACATAGAGGTCCAATACACTTAGGGGTTTAGGGTTTGGGGGTTTAGGGGTTTAGGGTTTAGAGCCGGGAGGATCTAGAAAGTAGATCCCCTAATTTGGGGCCCTATGCTACCAAGGGTACTTTATAGAAACCCCATGTAAGGGATCTGCTTTTTTGGATCCTCCCAAAATTTGGGTGGGTCCTGCCCCCACTCAGTCACAGTTGAATAATACTGTATTATTGATACAGAAGACCCTTCATAACAGCCCTATTATGATTAGACGGTTACTGCATGGGAGCAGCACCCAACCTAAACCCTAAATTAAACCCTAAACCCATAAACCCCTAAACCCGTAAGCCACTAGCGAGGTACAGAGTTAGCGTGGCTTGTACAGTCGAAAGCCTCCGAACGTTTGCAGCCGAGTGAGCTCACAGTACTTGTCGAAAGCCCGTTGCGGTAGAGAAAGTCATGCGTCCGACAGTTGTGACATGTCTTTTCCTTTTTCTGCTACTTGGTAGCGGAGCCGGTGAGCCCTTGATGGTGGGCCCGGCTTGGAGCCGCTTCCAGGGACGCACACGACGGTTGGCCGCCAGACGTGGAGCTGCCATGGTGTTGCAGCTTCACCTCTGGCTGGCCAGCCATGGAAAGATGATGTGGTACAAGGGACCTTGGACACGAGCCTTTTGGTGTGGACAGCAGCCAAGGTACTTTAGCCCTTCGTCTGAGTTTTTTCCTACGTGCACTACGAGCCCAATGCTGTTGGATTTTCTTGCTTGCAAACCGCGATCAAGCAACTCTGGTTGGGATGGACTTCAGGACAATGGATACAGTGATGGCGTGTTGGATGCCTGCTACTCATCGATGATGGCGCCGCAGGCCTACAATGGTGTTTTTTCCAGGTCGCCTGGAGTGGACGACATCGAGCACGACGACGCTGCTTACATTGATCTTGAAGGCCGTGATGGCCAACTTCGTGCCGGACCGGGAAACGCGCGTTACGAGACGAACACCGGAACCAGGCGCGACGTTATTGCAGGAGCTGTCCCAACTACCAGCAGCCCATCAGTCTTCAGAAGAGCTGCGGAAGACATGAAGCTTGCAATGCGCAGCTGGACCACAGACTGGAAACTGATCGAAAATGCATCGTCCTATGGTGCATCCTTGTCAAGATTGATCAGCAATGGAATGCGTCATGGTCTGACACCCTTGATCTATGCAGCTGATTCAACGTGCAAACTGATTGGTGGAGCAAGCCCACTGAGCTTGCTGGTGTTGCTAGTGTTGTCACTCCCAGCGTGCGCAGCTCATGCTGAGAGTGACAACCTGGCCCCGCAGCACACACACACACACACACACACACACACCTCATGCACGCATACTAGGGTCTAATGTCAGCCCCAAAACAATAGTATCCCTAATCACCCTAGTAGTTGCTGCGCAAGCCGTCGCAGCATTGTGCTGCATGATGCCTGCAGCTGCAGCTGTGCCCCGAATGCCACCTGCATGGGACCCCAGCAATCAAGCCCAGTATCCTTTCAGGAGATGATCACATGATGTCATGGTCTGGTCCGTGGCCACTGAAGGGGACCCAGCCAGAAAGGCAGCACTCTTGTGCATGAGCTTAAGGGGATCAGCGCAGGAGCTTGTTCGCACATTGCCCCCGGCAGTTCTGGTGCAGGGAGGTCTGGTCAACGGTGCAGCCGTTGACCCTCTGTCATTCATCATGCATCAGTTGGCCGAGCGATTTGCGGCACTTGGTGAAGAGGTTCGTTTGTCAGCAGTGACTGAGCTTCTTACCTTTGACAGGCAGGGAGCTGAAACTGTGGACAACATCATAAACCGCTTTGATGTAGTCCGTCAGCTTGCGCATGATCAGGGTCAGTTGGTGATTAGTGTAACGGGTTTAACTTGGTTGCTACTTAGGGCAATAGGGGTTAGCGATCAACAGTTGCTAACTCTTCTTGCTCCCTTCAACGGCGTCTTCCCTCAGACTGAAGCAGAGTTGGCACAGCTGAAAACCCAACTTCGGCGAATGGGTCACGTGTTGGAACACGCTCCAGGCAACATAGCATCGTCGTTACGATCCCAACGTGCAGCAGGCAGGCCGCAATTTTGGGCACATGCTGAGACTGAAGGAGCATCTTCCGTGTGGCATGCTAGTGAAAGCAACCCGCCAACTGCCTGGGATGCCTATCCTGAGCAAGGAGGTGCTCCCAGTGCTAACTGGGAAACGAGTTCGCCAGACACCTCAGCATGGCTGGCCCAGGATCTTGATATGAGCGACGGCGGCACAGACACTGACACTGCTAGCTCCGATGGAGCCACTGAGTTGCCTGCATGTACCCCTGAAGGCAGCTACGATGACCCGGCCATTGGAGAGCATCTCTTCTGGGCCTATCAGCGAGCCAAAAGCCAATGGCGACGGTGGTCGCAAAAGCCCACACGCACCGTCAGGCGTCATGTGCGCCGCTTCATCCGCCACAAGGGTTCAGGCAAGGGTCATAGGCCTAAAGGTAAGGGTAAGGGTCGCCCTAATCCTTCTGCCTTCCTTGCATCTTTGTCTGATGAAGAAGTGCAACATGTTTTCAAGGTCGCTGGCAAGGGTAAAGGCAAAGGAGGCAAAAGGTCAACAGGAAAAGGCAAGGGCCGACGCACCAATCCGAAGGGAAAGGATGGAATGACTATGCGTTGCTTTCGCTGCGGATCGGAAACCCATTTGAGCCGTGACTGCCACTTGCCTCGAGATTCCAATCCAGGCCAGAGCTCTGCAGCAGCACCTTCTTTCCATGTTAACACAATTCCTGAAGGCGGTCCTCTTAGTATGGTTTTCATGGCATCGCCGTCAGACGACTCTTGGTCTATGCCTTCAGAAGCCACGCAAGCTCAGCCCGATCCTTGGGCTGAGTTCCTGCGAGGAGCCGGAGCATTTGGCAGACAGAACAGGTCAGCAACTGCAGATCCCCCGCCTGGGTTTGATAGGGAATCTAGTGGTCTAGGTGCAGGGTTAAACACCGATGCACCACGAGGCATGCATGGAACAACCGCTCCACCCATGCAAAGTGTACCTCCACCTCCCCCGATGTTTTCAGGCATTGCAAGCACCATGCCCATGTATGTGGCACAGCCTCCTCCCAGTTTGCCGGCGTGGGCACTCATGCCCGAGTTCAGCTTTGTGCAGCAGCCGATGTCGTTTGTCAACCCAGAGCAGGAGCCTTTGATTCCTTTACAGGATGGTCGTCCTTCAGTGCGAAGTACATTGGAACCTACAAATGCACAACTTGTAGACAGCCTGCATGCGGCCACTGAAGCGTCGACTCTGCGCTGGTTGAATAAGTCCCAGCCAGCTCGCCCTGCAGCTCAGGTGACATCGCAGCTTCACGAAGTTCATCATTCAGCCATGGAGTCTTTTGTGCAGGCCCAGCGGGTTATGCATGAGCGTCGAGCCCAAGCCAAGCGTGCCCAAAGAGCCTTGCATCTGCCGCGGACGGATGATCTCCAGGCTTATGACGAGCCTGATACTATGTGCTCTCTCTGCCAAGAAGAGTTCGGAGCTGGGGAATCAGTGGTTAGGCTGGTTTGTCGCCACCTGTTCCACACACACTGCTGGACTTCTTACTTGGTGCATGAGGAGGCCAGAATGCAGTGTCCCAATTGCCGTGGCAGCACCCGGATCATCGCCCGCTTCAACTATGTCAGCCACTCTGCCACTGGCACGCCGCATCCTCCAGCATCCCCGGGAGGCTCTAGCAACGCCAGCCGAGGCGGGCAAGGCACGCAGGAGTACCCTCTTACACCTCCAGGCAGAACTCCCGACCCATCGGTGCATACGCCGTCACCGTTCCGTGACGCAAACCCTGCCGCAGGCCAGGATGATGCTGAGTATGAGGATGCGCAACCCACGTTCCCGTGGTGGCCTGCCGCGCGGGAAGGAGCAGCAAGCGCTGCTGTCTATCATCAGGCCACAATGCTACCAGGACACAATGCTTTGCTCATTGACCCTGGCGCCCACACAAATCTAGTGGGATTGAAGTGGGTGCAGCAAATGCTTGAGAAAGCTCAGCGTGCGGGGCGAATGCCCAGCCAATCACGTCTTCAAGAACCTCTCACGGTTCAAGGTGTTGGCCAAGGTGTGCAAAGATGCACTTGGAGTGTGTCGATGCCTATATGCACCCCTTGTAAAGTGGATGGCCAAGAGACGGTGGCTCAGCACGCGTATGAGAGCCCCATTGTGGACGGATCAGGCGCGAATTTGCCTGCCTTGCTCGGACTCAAGTCCCTGCGTGCCAAGTCAGCAATCCTAGTCCTGTCCGAGCGGGACGAGGACCTCCGCGTGATCCTGCCTGGCCCAGGCGGTGTAAACATCGAAGCCACAGGTGCAGTAGAGTATCCTTTAACGGTAGCACCTTCAGGCCATCTCCTTCTCATTTGTGATGCATTTGCAGGACATAGAAGGATTAACTTGCACACGCGAGAAATGCAGTTTCCTGTAGTGTCCAGTGGGGACGGAGAGCTTGAGCACTTTACAGTGCAAGATGATTTTCATCACGGGCTTCCCGCCCAATCCACAGCAACAGCCATGAATCAAGATGACCCGCCCGAACGGGCACCGAGCAATCAGTCTCCGTCTTAGTGGGGTGGACGCAACAGCAGGCACAGACAGCTGAGATGCTTGCTGAACAGCTGCTCAAAGCACGAGATTTTACGTACACCGCTTGTGAAAGACTGGTGCGAATTCTGCCCATGCGAAGTTTGGACGCGTTGCGCCACACACATCAAAAGGCAGGATTGCTGAGGCACGATGGGGAAACCGCAGGTACACTGGTGGTGGGCCTCTTTGCCCACGGCCCCATGTGTGGAATGACTCGAGGAACTGAGCAATGCAGCTCAGCCACGAAGTATTTCAACCTCTTTATGAGGGATAAGTTACCTCCCGGCGAGCTGCATCAATGGTCTTCGTTAAGTATAAATCGCAATGTGCCATCCAAGCCCCACTTAGATGCCCATAACGTAACCCACTCCATGAACTTGAGTATAAGTATGGGTCCGTTTAGTGGTGGTGGCGAGCTGTGGTTGGAAGTTCCTGCTCATGAGGTTGCCCGATACCGTAATGTGAAGTGGCGCGTCAAAGGGAACGGCATTCAGGTCCCAGGACGCCTGATCGATACCAGGCATAAACTGGTCGTTTTCAGTCCCAAGACCACTCATGCAACCCAGCCGTGGCAGGGCTTCCGCATCTCCATTACAGCTTATCTGAGCCGAGCAGTGCTTGGAGTGCGAGCGCCCATACTTCGGCGGCTCACTGCTCTCTGTTTCCCACTCAGCGCACCCGGCCTTCGGCCCAGTGACGGCCCGGTTGAGGCTCTCACAGCTGTACCTGCTGAGTCCTCATCTGCTGGAGATAACCCACGGGCTGAACCAGTACTCAATGCAGAGACTGTCGAGCCTACTCAACATGAGTCTGCGCTGCAAATTCCCAATTGTGAACCTGACAGCATCGCTATGTTGGGGGCCGAGGCGGACTGTCAGATGCAGCAGGTTCCCGCGCATGGCACTCCTGTCGCCATTGTGCTGGAGGATCATCCAGCAGTGTCGCAGTTGTTGCAACAGCATGGCTTTTGCGTGGAACCTCTGCAACCCGCCCATGTAAACAGCACCGCCACTGCCACGCTCTCTCGACGCATTAAAGAAGGTGCTGTGAAGTTTGTGTGGTTTGATCTGCCTATCCCTGGGAGACAAGTTGCGAAAGGCCGACTGAATGCTTATGTGGCTCAGCTGTGTATATGGTTGCAGCACTGTGCTGAGCAGAACATCCCAGGCACTGTTTTCGGTGCTTTTGGCAGCCAATGGCAACACGCTGGATTGGCCGATCTTCTGCAGTCCCGGGTTTTGGGTAAGTCATACCATAGAATTTGCCACTTCGGTTTAAGGGTCGATCCAACACAGCAGGCCCCAAGTCGTACATGCTTTATCATGGCATCCAACGTACATGCACCAGGCCATGCGTGCAAATGCACGGAGTCTCAAAATAAGCATGTCTTAGACTGGGTTGCGCCCAAGTTGCCACACCAACGACGCGTGCGGGCCCAGATGCACGCACGCATGGCCCAAGCTGCAGCACAGCAGCTCCTGGCCGCAGCCACAGTCCCACTACAAGCACCACAACGAAGCACACCCGACAACCACATTCGTGGCAGCAGTGCACCCGCTGCTACTGCCGCTGGGCCCCGTTGTGCGAGTGACTCCTCTGCGTCGTCCCTCGTCTCTTTCCCTCCCCGATGTGTGACACAATGTGCGGGCACGGCCCAGCAGCTTTCCAATGCAGACAAGTCCAATGCAAGCACGGAGCTACTTTGCGCAAAGTCGAGCGCCTGTGATGGCAGCACTTCATTGCCAAAGCCCACCGTGCACCCTACTATGTTGACTGATGAGTCGAGCGCCACTGTGGGCAGCGCCTCATCCATGTTGAAGCCTTCTTCCTTGAACACAAGCTCTCCCGCTGGCAGTGTAGCAAAGTCAGCTCCTGCTCAGCCACAAGCAATGCCATGCTACCCCACAGAGGCACGCATCCGCCAAAAGGAACGCAAGGCCAAAGGTCACATCGCGCAGCCGCGCGCAAAATGGGTCGAAGAGCACCATGACGACTGCGGTACTTCTCTCGAATCCCTTGTCGCGTGGTTGCCCCAGGACACCAACGACCTTAAACACACCTCTCTCTGGGCTTCTTCAGTCACACTGCCTACTCAATGGTTTCGCGCCTCCAGCAGCCCTTCAACCATACCGTGCCTACCTGAAACATGCTACCTAGCAGGTTCTGTGCAAGCAGCTCGAATTGCACATAACCAATGGTCTCCTGGCAAGGGGGATCTACTATCCCTGCAAGGAGGTGCTGACTACACGGCAACCATGTGGGCACACCGAGTGGGACGAGGGGCTAGTCACCCGAGCCTTTGGAGTCTTCTAGACCTAAGATCACCTTCATGCTCGCGAGACCTTGTCGAGTATGTAGAAAGGTTTAAGCCTTTGGTTGTGTTGTTGGTCCCCAACTCCCCACATCCTCAGGATCCGTCAACGGTGTCGTTTGGCCGCCTCTGCGGCCATATAGCCCAGTTGCAAACCCAAGAAGGTCGCTGCTTCCTGTGCGAGCAGCCCGTTACTTCCAGCTTGCCACAATTAAGCCCATGGCCCAGCATCCTTGCTGACCGAGCCTTGCAGTGGATATCAATCCCCGGAGAACTGGACAATCCTGATGTTGAGCTTTGGTCTTCCAGCGCTTGGTTAATACAGCCCTGCGCGAAACGCCCACCACCAAAGCAGCAGGGCCATCTCTGGAGCCCTGAGCTGGCAAACCTGGTGCAAGATGGGTGTACCTTGCTTTTTGCAACACATCATATGCAGCAGAGACCAGCGCAGGCCTTCCCCTCAGTGGCTTCCGGTCCAGGTTCTCCCGCAGGGGAAGAGCTTCCAAGATCAGAGGCTGAGCCATGGCGAAAGTGTCCGGGATGCAGAGGTAGGCAAGCACGTCACGACCCAAGGCACACCAGGGTAGCAGGAGAATGCCGGTTCCCCGAGGATGCCCCTGTGCATTGGGAGTGTGATGGATGCAAACATTATCGTCCTCGCCACCATACCTCACACACCAATGGTCCCGACTGCAAATACGGCATCATAGAGGCACGGGCCGGTGGGCCGCGAAAAGGGAGACACCCACGTCCTTCTGCACCGAAAGCCTCAGCATGCCCAGCACAAGACCTACAGGCGCAGCTTCCGGGCGGAGGTGATCTAGGCGAGGAAGAAGAGAGCGCTGCTGCTGCTGTCAGCAGTGCTCCCGTGCCCACTGGAATGCCAGCACCAGGTTCACTAGATCTCACTGACAGTGAACTGGCACGCCTGGCAGAGTCAGACCCAACCACGACGGGAGCACCGGCTCCCGGATCACCTGGTCTGATGGATGAACTGGATCAGATCTCCCTTGGTCCAGACAAATCAGGCTCCGGGCCCCCTAGGCGAGCTGTACGGGAAGACCGTCAACCAAAGGATGCGGCAACAGGCACTGAGTCGCCCTCAGATTGGACCCGCTTCGATGTTTCTCGATCGCTCAGAGTACTGAGGAACGGCTCAGAAAACGCTTGTAAACTTGAATTGCGCAAGTTGCATCTGCGCCTTTGGCATGCTGGTCGTCAGTCGATGACCCAGATACTGAGGGCAGCCGGTGTCACGCAGAAAGTATTAGACATGGTTCCGGCAATCATTCAAACATGTGCAGAATGCCGCAAGTGGCAGAGACCTATGCATGCTACTCAGCATGCCCTCTCTGCCAGTGTGGCCTTCAACCAGCACGTGGAGTTTGATCTCTTGTTCTACAGACAACACATCGTGTGTCACGCCATTTGCCGTGCGACCCGTTGGCACGCAGCCACGGTTGTCACGAGCAAAGAGGGCGAAATTCTCCAGGAGGCACTCTTCACGATGTGGATTGCGATCCACGGACCCATGACCAACCTGATCTCAGATGGAGAAGGCGGCCTCTGGCGCAGCGACATTGCTGAACGGCTGAAGCGACAAGGCATAAACATGAAATTAAGGGCTCCACAACAACATGCTCGGTACATCGAGCGTCGTGGAGCAGTGCTGCGAGCAACCTTGCATGTTATGCATGAGCAACTGGAACGCGAATCCGTCCAGTGTAGCTTCCCAACTGTGTTGGCAGAGGCAGTCTTCGCTGGAAATGCACTGACGCATGTAGGAGGCTCAACCCCCTACCAAGCCGTATATGGCCGCCAACCGGCCATGCTCCCTCCACTCGATGCACCAGACCTACCCAGCATTGAAGAGATCTCCTCTCAGGGAGACCATCAGCGTGAGCGAGTTCGACGTGCAGCCCTGGAAGCAATGATGCAGGCCACGAGCATGGCGCGTCTAAGCAGGGCTGCGCGAACCCGCACACAACCTGATACTACACGTACTTTCCAAGCTGGGGAATTGGTAGACATCTATAGGCCCCAGAGCAGTAAGGATGCCTCAGGTTGGTTTGGCCCCTATAGGATAACCCAATCTTTACCGGGTCAGGTTGTTGTGAAAATACAAGGTGTTGATGGCACATACCGGGCCCAGGATGTGCGACATGCCCTACTTGTTTTCTTCGCAGAACACCAACCCAGAGGCTGGAATGAATGTCTGGACATAGTGCTGGCAGAATTGCGCCCGGCCACACCGCTTTGTTCGGATATGCTTCCACAGCAGCAGGCAAGTGGGAACTCACTGCAACGTCAAAGGCCAGGCCTCACGTGCTACACGCATTAGAGCACCTCCTACAGTCCTGCTGGCGTATCGGTGACGCATGCTCTGTACGATTGGCGCATGGAGTGCGCCATCTGTGCAATGTACCGCATGCTTCACACTCAACGCTTTTGTGGTGGCATAAACGCCCAGATGAGGATGTTCAGTTCTGTACCTTGGAGCACACCAAGGTCGATCTCCTTGAAGTCATTGGGCAGAGCTACAGCACGGCATTTGTTGTCCAGGCCATTCAAAGTGCAGACCAGGATGTATCGCTCCTTGAGGCGTGTGATAGCACCTCGGACATTAGCCACGAAACCGGTGTCGGCACTTGCCTCCCGGATAGTGATGGCGAACACCCAAGTGTGCACACTCCTCACGGCCCTCTATCAGCTATAGCTGAGGAACCCGGAGCCGAAGAGGAGGCAGAAGCGTACTTGGCCCAGGTCACAACAGATGAGGCAGAGATCATCCCAGCCTTAAGAGAGATCTTCCAGCTGAGCCTCACTGAGACTCTCGAGCCTGTGGCTGAAGTCCATCAGCCTGCCAGTTACTACGCTGAGCCGATCCTCGACGATGACAGTCCTGTCGACCCTCACTGCCACTATCGTCTTGCAGGCCTTGACCCTGAAACCTATGGTTCTCTTCAAGAGCAGGATGAACAAGGTAACGGGTATGTAGAGGTTTGGTTCACTAAGGACTTCGCTAAGGTCATAGGGGACCCTGACCAACTTCACGCAGACGAAACGTATGCTTTGCGGGTTTATGCTGCCGGCTTCAGAAACGCTGTCATCCAGCGTGAAAGTGATCTCCTCACGACTTCTGAAATCCGACAAAACCAAGCAGCCGTAGACGCTGCCACCCTTGAGGAGCTACGAATCTGGATGAAGTATGGGTGCTTTGAGCGAGCACCGCGAGCTTCATCTTACAATGTGATGGATTCGAAGTTTGTCACCAAATGGAAAAAGACCAAAAATCCACAAGGGCAGGAGGTTCGGATCATCAGGCAAAGACTTGCTCTGCGGGGATTCAAAGACCTGCAAGCTGACCAGCTGGAAGCCCATGCCTCGACAGGCAGCAGAATGTCACAGCGCTTGCTGTGTAGTGAAGCGGCATGTCGACCGCACTGGCGCTTTGTGGCACTGGACATCAGTAAGGCATTCCTGCAAGGCATGACCTACAAGGAGATAGCCAGCCGAACAGGGGAAGAAGAAAGGGATGTTTGCTTCACTCTTCCTCCGGCTGCCGTCAAGTTCCTCAAACAGCTTGAAGGCTTCGAAAGCTTCAACGAGCATGAAGAAGTGCTACGATGCGTGAAGCCGGGCACTGGGTGTAAAGATGCACCCAGAGCCTTTTCCATGAAATTGGCAGAATATACTCGTAGCGACAAAATAGGCCTTAAGCCAAGCATGTTTGATCCGGAATTAGAATTAAAGCACCGCAATGGGGTTTTAGTTTTAATGTTGGTGAAGCATGTCGATGACTTGAAAGTTGCTGGTGAACCGCAGGAGGTTGAAGCCCTAATCAAGCATTTGGAAGCCGGGTTCGGAAAGTTGAGGTTCGCAGAAGCCGAGTTTACAAACTGTGGATTACACCATTGCCGCCTCCCTGACGGCAGTGTGAGTATGGATCAGAACGAATATATCTTGGCGATGCGCCCCATAAGGCACCCCGAACTCACCGGCCGTCCCAGCACAGATCCATGCAGTGCTGAAGTGCATCAGTTATACCAAAGCTTGTTGGGCGCCGTGGCCTATGCCCTCCTTTCTCAGGCCTGGGCCGCTGTCTTCGTCATTGCATTGCAGAGGCGCACTTCAAACCCGTTGAACATACACGTGCGACGCCTCAATCTTCTCCTCGCAGCAATGCAAAGAAAACTATGCAAGGTTGTCTTTCCAGCAATGACGTGTCAGAAGCGGCTGGTGGCTTTTTCAGATGCGTCTTTTGACAAAGAAGGAGACAGCAAGGGCTACGGCATGCGCGGTTCTGTTTTTCTCAGATGGGGCATCAATGCCCAAGGCAAAGAAGTGTGCCATATGCTTGAAGCACAATCACAGAGTCTCAAACTTGTTACTCGCAGCACGTTCTCGTCGGAAACCTTGGCTGCAGTGGGTACAGTGGACCAGTTGGTTCCCATGCTCTTTGCATTTCAAGAAATTTTGCATGGACCCTTAACCAGCCAGCAGGCGAGAACTTTGCGCGAAAAGGGAGGTTTCACAATGACATCTGAACTTGTCATCGATGCCATGAATTTATTTTGGGCTCTTTCCGTCACCAGTCCCCGCATGCCTGCGGAACGCACATTATTTGTGCACATAAACTGGCTTCGTGATCTGCTGCAGGCTGGCATGCCAAGCATCCTCAAGTGGATGGACACCCGTGGCATGCTAGCCGATGGAATGACCAAAGGGAAGATCGACAGGGGTCCACTAGTTGAAGCGATGGCTGGGCAGCATGCGATGCATCCAGACACTAAGACTTATAGACCTCTAAGATCCAAGCCCTGAGCATGCACCAAACACACACAAACGAGCACACCCGACTAGCGAGGTACAGAGTTAGCGTGGCTTGTACAGTCGAAAGCCTCCGAACGTTTGCAGCCGAGTGAGCTCACAGTACTTGTCGAAAGCCCGTTGCGGTAGAGAAAGTCATGCGTCCGACAGTTGTGACATGTCTTTTCCTTTTTCTGCTACTAAGCCTTAAACCCATAAACCCATAAACCCCTAAACCCTAAACTAAACCCCATAACCCACAAACCCCTAAACTCATAAACTCCCTAAACCCATAAACCGCTAAACCCTAAACTAAATCCTAAACCCATAAACCCCTAAACCCTAAACTAAACCCGAAACCCATAAACCCCTAAACCTAAACCCTAAACTAAACCCCCAAACCCATAAAACCCCTAAACTCTTAAACCCCTAAACCCTAAACTAAACCCTAAACCCATAAACCCCTGAACCCTCGGAGGTCACCGTGAACCGCCATCTGCTCAAAGACTTGATTAACAAGGGGCTCTGGACAGAGGCGGCGTTAGGGATTTGGGTTTAAGGGTCCTTTAAGGGAATCCATAAGGGATTTATAGAGCTTTCTTTTAGAGTTTAGAGATTCGGGGCTTAGGGGTTTAGGGTTTAAGGGTTTAGAATTTAGGAGTTAGGGCTTAGGAGTTAGGGTTTCGGTAGGGTTTAGGATTTAGGAGTCACGTTGCAGGGTTTAGGGTATAGGAGGTTGGGTTTAGATAGGGTTTAGGGTTTAGGAGTTTGAGTTTAGGGTTTTTTTAGGGTTTGGGCCAGGGGTTTGGGGGCCTTATCAAAATTGCTCACAGGATTTCTTAAGGGGTTTCTATTTGTTTTTTTTTTTATAAGGGGTTCAGGACTTAGGGTTTTGGGATCCATTCTGTTGTTTGGCATACGAGAACAGGGTTGTGAGGGCATTCTGCCCGGTTCCAAACCCTGTAAAGATGGGTAACGATTCACAACCCTCGAAGCAAAGCCTAAATGCAAAATACTCAGCCCCAAAGACCGCCAACCGCAAATCTACTCCAAAGCCTCGGAGCTCCAATCTCGAATTCAAATTTGCTTAATTCACACTATTCCTTGAATCAAGTCGAAGCGCTGTATACTCATCAAGGAACCTTCCATAGTTCAAGCTGACAAACAACCCCACAAGTCGTCGATGGAAACCGCTGGAACCTCACAAATAAGCCGAGTGTCCTATACTCCTCTATAAAACCTTGCACGCATCCGGGGCAGTAAGACCCAATGAAACTGGTATTCCCCTACCCCGAGGCCCCAATATCCCTGAAATAAGGAACATACTTGAAATCGTATTAGGGATCTTAGTATTAAAAAAAGTACTCTGATTAATTCCCTTGTGGAACCCGTGTAGGTCCCTTCAACCCTTATAGGTGTACTCCTTAATCCATTAAGGCATACCGGAGTTTCTGGGTAGTTACAGTAGAAGCCCAATAGATCCCTTAAGGAACCCTATAGATCCTTTAAAGGAACCCTATAGTTATAGATCCCTTTAAGGAACCCGATAAACCCCTACAGTAGAAGCCCAAAAGTTGGAAACCCAATAGTCTCAATCCTTAAGAGTCATGTATAAGGGATCCCAGCACTACTTGTCCTTAATCCGGTTTCCAACTTTTTGGGGTTTACTGTAAGCCCTAAAACCTCCTACCTGGATCCCCCCCCCAACTACCCTTTTAAAGTAATTTATTATTCCTGATGACGGGGTGGGGCTGCGGAGGAGCTCCGCACGCAGCTCATCGCGCACAACGGCAGCGTGCAACAGCTGGACCTCCCCCAGGAGTCAAGGGGCTCGGCGTGTGGGGTTCAGGGTTTATCGTTTACAGGGCTGGGGTTTCAGGTAATTACAGCTTGGCGTTCTTCTGGTTGGCTCTTTAGACTTTAACTTTTTGGGTTTCTATATGAACTGTAATAATGAGGCTAAAAGTTTAACTTGTAGGAGGGGTTCAGAAGTCAGCCAAGACAGGGCTTGGAGTTTAGGGTTTGGAGTTTAGGGTTTGGAGGTTCAGGGTTTGGGGTGCAGGGTGACGGTTTATGTTGACTCTAAGCCTCTAAGCGGAGTTCTATGTGTGCCGTAGGGGCCTTGTTAATCGGCACAGAGATTTCGGGCCTATGATAGTATATCCATGCAGGGACTATGACTATGTTATCAGGGGATACCTTTTCTATTTTTCCGACCCCGCCTTCGAGCAGGAAAAAGGCGGGTTCTAGAGGGTTTCAAGGGATCTTAGAAGGCGGTTTAGGGTTTAGGGTTTTGGATTCAGGGTTTAGGGTTTAGGGTGTAGGGCTCAGGTGTTTCGGAGGATTTTGGACTTACGCTTTCTTTGGCGCGTTGAGGGCTTAGCGGCTCTTGCGCTACTGTGAGTAATGCTATGAGTTGGATGCTGCCCCCACTCAGTAACAGTTGGATAATATCCATATTATAGATATATTAGGACCTTAATAGTAGCCCTATTATAAACTGTTACTGTATGGGGGCAGTACCCAAGCTATGAGGTTGTTATTCCTACTGCTATTATTCTTGCTCTTGCTATCATTGCGGGGTGTAGGGAAGACGTCTGGTCAGGTTGCCACAAAGCCCTTGCGAAGCTTAAGCCGTCTGTGCTATTGCCTAAGCATCAGTTTGCGCAAGACCGGGTCCAAAACGCCAAAAAATCCGCACAGGCCGATTGAAAGCATCAATCGTTTGCACCTCTGTCTGGTCGGTTCCATGTACCAAGCCCTGCAAAGCCTGCATCGCAGCCGATAGGCTTCCTACGCCCCAAAGCCCTAAACCCTAAACTGCCTGAAACCTCGAAGCCTAAACCCTAAGCCCTACATGCACAGAAGTTGCAATCCCAAGACTGCTTGGGCAGAGAAAACCCCGAATATTTAGTAGCATCCCCTGAAGGCGCCCTTATAGGGTGTCGGGTTTAGGGCTGACCTGGAGATCCCCAAACCTACCGTTTTAGCTGTTAGACCCTCTAATCAAAGGGGTCATAGCCTCCTATGTTGTAGGGTTTGGGGATACAGATATAGTTTCTAAATAAGTGTACAATAATATCCCGCTTGAGTCCTGACGGGCTGGAGTTTAACAAACCCATGCGAGCTTTGGGGTTGTATTTAGGGGGTTCGGGCAGAAATCTACTCCTGAGCCGAAAATGCCCAGCGAAGAAGCCTCATTCTCAAGCCTCCTGAGACGAGGTAATGTAGGGTCCGCACTGTTTGAACATCGGTTCGGGAAACCTGTTGCGTATACTTACAATGAGGAACCCAATGGAACACTTTTGGTAAGTATTTAGGTTTCTGCAGTAGCCCCCCACCCCCTCGTTTCATCCGCAAGTTGCCAAAGGACATGAAAGACTTGTACAAGACGGTGCCTTTGTCTCTCAATCGTGGGGCCTGGGTGTCTCCATACGGTTGATGATATAAATCCTGCATTACCCACGATAAGGAATATACCATGGTTCCCATAGCATAATTCCCATAGTTAGGGTCCTAAGGTAGTGCAGTATTTATATCATCAACCGTAGCTCTCGGCCCTCGACCTTTGACCCAAACCCTAAACCCTAAACTCTAAACCCTAAACCCTGACCCTAAACCCTAAACCCTACCCCAGATTCTAAAGCAGGCTTGAAGGATCTGGGCCCGAGCCCTAAACCCTGTACTTCCAAGGCACCCATACCTCGGGTCCCTTACCGCCCCACTCCCTGCCTGAACTCGACATCCAACCAGCTTCAAAGAGATTTTGGGTTGTTTGAGGATGAGAGGGTCGAGATCTGCTGATCGCTAAAGCCTGCAGTCTTGCCGGAATCATGAATCCTCAAGGCGTTTGGGTTAAGATCGTCTAGTGCGGATGCCCAAAGCCCACGCCGCAATCCAAGTTTTTGATTTCTGCAGTTGCTTCAAGTCTCGTGCATGGTCATTAGTAGAAGGCAGTCGGTCTCTCGCAAGTTGGGCTTAGGCTTTCGGGTTTAGTCAACAGGTGCAGTCTTACATAGAAAAACAGTCAATAATGGTAGCTCTGGCCCTACACAGAACTGCCAATTAGCCCGTCAGCCTTCTGCTAAGTCTGGAACCCTGCAGCCACATAGGTGGTTGTCAGAATCAGGGTCCCGTTTTGGGTCCCTATTAAAACACTCACCTATTATTTAGGGTACCCATCAAGGGACCATCATTTTGACAACTACCCACATAAACACCCTGTAAAACCCATACAAAACCCCTGAACCTTAAACCCTGTACATGTTCAACCCGTTTACAGGTGCCTTCTAAAGCCCATCGAAAACCCTATAAACCCTATAGGCCCCAAGGGTTGAATCCCTAAACTTAAACCCTAAGCCGTTACCCCAAGGGTCCAAAGGACTCAATAATTAAGTACTCGGTTTTAGGATAGTAGTTATGTAGGTTAGGATTTTGGGGAGTGTATGATTATTAGGTACTTGGACCCTTGGGGTAACCTTTTGAAATGTTAGGTCTGGGAAATCCGGCAGAAGCGGGTTCTCGACCTGGCTGCGGACCGAGGCGCCCAGAGGAAGGAGGGCGTGCTTCGAGTTTCAGGGTTTCTGGGTTCTGGATTACCATACTTGATTGCTTCTTAGGTACCTGCTCCTCAAAGGAGCCAATAATTGTCAAGTAAAAAGTTCAAAAAGAAGACCTGCTTTTTTGCTTTAATGCTTTTTTTTGGGAACCTGCTCCATGAAGGAACCCTTTTGACATCAACCCTTATGCTTTTTCTCCTTGTGTTGCTTCAAAGTCCTGGTTTGGGATTTCTGGGGGTCAAGGATTTAGGGTTTTGGGAAAATGGTTTTAGTTTTTTTTTTTTTCGGGTTCGGGGTTTAGGGTTTAGGGCACCGAGGCTTTTAGGGTTTAGGAGGTCCTTATATCATCTTACAGTGTACTGTTACTCCATATTATATTTGTAGTATGTTGAGTTATACCCTAAACCCTAAACCGTGCACACTGTGTCAGATTATGGTGTAATGTAATATGCCCGGGTTTCAGAATGGTCCAAAATGCTTATCAGCGTTTTTGAGCATGGAGGGTTTAACAGCTTAAGGCGTAGGGCTTAGGGTTTAGACGGTTTAGACGGTTTAAGATTTGGCGTTGAGTGTATAACTAGGTATATTTGTGCCGGAAGTATATGCTTCGTGGTAGAACCAGGTATGAAGTGTGTGTGATTTGCTGGTATGACCATAAACGCTAAACCCTAAACCTCAATCCCTACCTAAAACCTGAACCCTAGACCCTAAAACCAAAACCCAAAACCCTAAACCCTAAAGCCTAGGCCCTAGACCCTAAACCCTACAACCAAAACCCTAGACCCTAAAACCAAAAACCAAAACCCTAAAGCCTACAGCAGGCCCTAGACCCTAAACCCTAAGACCTAAACCCTAACACCCTAAACCCTAAAACCTAAACCCTGCACCCTAAACCCTAAAGCCTAAACCCTAGACCCTAGGCTCTAAAGCCTAAACCCTAGACCCTACCGTCGGGCCTTGGGTGTTACGAGGTTTCGGGTCTCGGCTGCAGGGACGGCTGAGGAGTACTTAGAGATACATTCAGGGTTTAGGGTTTAATGTTTAGGGTTTAGGGTTTAATGTTTAGGGTTTCGGGTTTAATGTTTAGGGTTTAGGGTTTAATGTTTAGGGTTTCGGGTTTAATGTTTAGGGTTTAGGGTTTAATGTTTAGGGATTTTAATCTTTGCTTCCTGTAATCCCTAAGAAACAGCGTAGATTTTAATCTTGGCTAGGGGTCTAAGTTCAGTGCAGAGGGTTTATAGGGCTCAAAATCTTGAACCGTTACGGTGTAGGGTTTGCCCCCCAAGGTATGCCAGCTTCAAACCCTAAGATCCCCACCCTAATCCTTACTTGGAGGATTATGGTTCATAGTTATCTTTTTATAACCGGGGCATGATCAAAATCCATAGCAATGGTTGTCGTTTTGTTCTTTTGTTTTGGTTACGCCCCTGCCTCATGTGTAACCCTAGCTACTAAGTCCCATGACCTCTTAAGCCACGCCTTTGCTGCTATTGTGCACGATGGATCGGCTTGCCGGTACTAGTACTACTAGTACTAGTACTAGTACTAGTACTAGTACTAGTAGTAGTAGTAGTAGTAGTAGTAGTAGTAGTAGTAGTAGTAGTAGTAGTAGTAGTAGTAGTACTACTACTACAGCTACTACAGCTACTACAGCTACTACTACTACTACTACTACAACTACTACTACTACTACTACTGCTACTACAGCTACTACTACTACTACTACTACTACTACTACTACTACTACTACTACTACTACTACTACTACTACTACTACTACTACTACTACTACTACTACTACTACTACTACTACTACTACTACTACTACTACTACTACTACTACTACTACTACTACTACTACTACTACTACTACTACTACTACTACTACTACTACTACTACTACTACTACTACTACTACTACTACTACTACTACTACTACTACTACTACTACTACTACTACTACTACTACTACTACTACTACTACTACTACTACTACTACTACTACTACTACTACTACTACTACTACTACAGGCTCAGTCTTTGACTTCCGTTAAGTTCGTTATACCCGTCGTCATCATCATCTTCCTCATCATCGACGTCATCATCCTCCTCATCCTCCTCATGCACAACATCATCATCGTCATCACCGTCGTCATCACTGTCGTTATCGCTGTTGGTGCCGTGCCCAAGAGATATAGGTTTTACACATGCTGTTCATCTATACCGTTACGCTGCTGAACTGCTGGTTGCATGACACGTAAGTTGTCCAACACACCACTTTACTGGGCTTTTTAAACCCTAAACCCTCAACCCTCAAACCACCCTTGGTATTATGTTGCTCGGCTGATACGCCAAGGTGCCTACATCGATCAGTCGCAGTCGCTGAACATCCACATGATGGACCCTCGGCCGAAACGGGAGGGGCGTTCCTTTAAAGCGGGACTACAAGGGTACTATAAGAGTTCCGTTAAAGGGGCTCTAGAAGGGTTTAGGGTTTCCGAAAATCAGGGGTACCTTGTTTTGGGGTCCTTCTCAGAAGGATCCTACTATTGACGGTACTATGTTAGGGCCCCCTATTTTCGGAAAGGGGACCCTCATATAGTACCCTAAATAGTCGGATCCTTATCACAAGGCCTCCAGATAAGGCACCCCATATTTTCGGACCCTCGGCCGAAATGGTGAGACCAAGACCCAGACCCCAAGCCGAGACGATGAGTTCTGAAACCCGAAACTGCACATGTTCATCCATACTTACCAGCTGAGTGGATACACTTTACACTTGTTGCGGGAACATAACCCACTGTACAGCTGAAAGTGTACACTCTTTGAGGCTTATGAACTTAGCAACTAGGCATCATCCCTCAACCCTTTAATAGAACGCTTAAAGGAACCCTAAACCCCTAAAGCCCCCTCCCCTTCCCATGTGAGTCCCTCTTGCAGATAGGTGGGCTTCCGAAAATAGGGGACCCGAATATAGTACCCTAAATAGTAGGATCCTTATTAGAAGGACCCCGAAATAAGGTACCCCTCATTTTCGGAAACTCTAAACCCTTATAGTAGCCCCTTTAAAGGAACCCTTATAGTACCCTTATAGTCCCCCTTTAAAGGAACCCTCATAGTACCCTTATAGTCCTCCTTTAAAGGAACCCTCAATTTCGGAAACTCCCATAGGCCCAGAAACCTTGGACTGGTCCGCGGAGGGGTTCAGGGTTACTTCTAGGGGCAGGGGACTTAGTAAGGGCTCCTTAAAGGGGTCTATAGGGTTCCTTAAAGGGATCTATGGGGTTTAGGGTTTAGGGTCATGGGACTTCGTAAGTAGGTTGTAAGTAGAGTTCTAAGTACCTTAAATGGAGTTACCCCAATTATAACCCTGCTTATAAACGGCTTACTAAGTCCCCTGCCCCTCCAAGTAAGGGTTTAGGGCATTCAGTCTTTTGAGCCGCAGGACTTTGATGCGATGACCACTGCAGGTCTTGGAGGCTAAACTCAATCCCGAATGCCCCATTGTTTCACGGTTGTTACAGAAGCGGCTTGTTACACACCATAGTCTTTAAGAGGGATCCTACTGTAAGAGCACCCCATCCCAAACTCCTACCAACATCTTGCGAATCCTTGCACAGAAGGGTCATCAGAGCTTGTTTCTCGAGCAGACGTCACCTCTCCTGATCCCTAAATCCTGAACCGAATTCTGGTGCTTCGTGTGATTGTCGCGCCGGGGTGCCAGAACAGGTCCAGCCCACTCCAATCTCAAAAACCGTAGGTTTAGGGTTTCGGGTTTAGGCTGGCATTTCAGGCTTCTTGGGTGCTTCGGACATTTGTGGGGCTCCTTTCACAATTATAGCAAAAATGGGCCCCAAAACCCTATTCTTATTATTAAGGCCCCTATATTACACCCTAAGCCTAAACTCTAAGTCGGAAGCGCCATGTCGGTCACTGTGGAGCTTCGACTGCTCAGCGGCAGAACCGCTACGGTCACAGCAGACTCGGGTGAGGAACTGGAAGCATTGATTCTTCGGGCGCAGAGGGCCCTTGGAGCTACCAAAGCTCGGCTGGTTGACTCATCCGGAAGTATTCTGGATGCCTGCGCACTGATAAGGGACACCCCGGTGCAAAACGGTGACTCACTGACCCTACAAATCAGCCCAATTCATGTATGTAGCACTGAAGGAGCTTTTGCGGCCATACTTGGAGATGCATGCGTGGTGACTTCAGGTTATGCTAGGCATGGTGGTGACAGTAGTGCTGTGCAGAATCAGCTAAAGAACGTACAGCAGATTCAAGCCTCCGCTGGTGCTTTTGCTGCCGTTTTTGCTGACGGGCACGTCGTGACCTGGGGACATGCTGCCTTTGGTTGCAACAGTGAGGCTGTGCAGCATCAGCTGAAAGCCGTGCAAAAGATCCAAGCTTCTCGCCTCTCTTTTGCCGCCATTCTTTTCAATGGATCCGTCGTGACCTGGGGTGATGAAAGGAACGGCGGCGACAGTAGTGCTGTCCAGGATCAGCTAAAGAATGTTCAGCAGATCCAATCCACTGAGCACGCTTTTGCTGCTATTCTTGTCGACGGATCGGTCGTGACCTGGGGTCTACCTGCCTTCGGTGGCGACAGCAGTGCCGTGCAGGATCAGCTGAAGCGTGTGCAGCAGATCCAGGCTTCGAGCAGGACTTTTGCCGCCCTTCTTGACGATGGATCAGTTGTGGCCTGGGGTGGAATGGCCTGGGGTGGAACTTTCTCCGATGACATTGCACCGCAGGATCAGCTGAAGAATGTGCGGCAGATCCAAGCCACTGGCTTTGCTTTTGCTGCCATTCTTTGTGATGGCTCTGTCGTGACTTGGGGTTCTGCTGGCAATGGTGGAGACAGCAGCGCTGTGCAGACTCAGCTGAAGAATGTGCAGCAGATCCAGGCCACTTACCGCGCTTTACTACCGCGCTTTTGCTGCCATCCTTGGCGATGGCTCCGTCGTGACCTGGGGTGATGCTGATTTTGGTGGTGACAGCAGTGCTGTGCAGGACCAGCTGAAGAATCTGAAGCAGATTCAAGCAGCTAAAAATGCGTTTGCTGCCATTCTGGGCGATGGATCGGTCGTGAGTTGGGGTGATGCTGATTTTGGTGGTGACAGTAGTGCTGTGCAGGATCAGTTGAAGAATGTGCAGCAGATCCAAGCCGCTGACGACGCGTTTGCTGCCATTCTGGGCGACGGATCGGTCGTGAGTTGGGGTGATGCTGAAGGCGGTGGTGACTGCAGTGCTGTACAGGAACAGCTGAAGAATGTGCAGCAGATTCAAGCCACTAACCATGCTTTTGCTGCCGTTCTCGGTGATGGATCTGTCGTCACCTGGGGGTTGGGACAGCCTGAGCCTGGCAAGTTTCTGAAGACCTCGTAGCCAAAAAGCATACGGTGCTATAGGGGTGGCCTAAATGATTACCAATACTGTTATTTCGGGGGTTCCTTGTTATAAGTACAGTATTATGGTACTAACCGCATAGTTCAAGGGTTTACATCAGGCCTCAAACGGGAAAATATGCATCTATCATAGGGACCCTTAGGGGGGTAGGGGGGAGGAGGGTAGGGGACTATACTTCCTTAAATGGGCCTCATAAGGTCCTTGGTAAGGTCCCCTACCCCCCCTCCCCCCACCCCGCTAAGGGTCCCCATGAATCTATGCTCACCGAGGATGCCGGAACCCCGGAACCCCATATAAGGAGGCCACATGCAATGCCTGTGACCGGGTTTAGGGTTCAGGCTGCCTGAAGTTGCTGAGGGTTTAGGGTTTAGGGTTTAGGGCTGCGTGCTTGAGGGTTCCTTGAATGAGATAGAGTATACCACAGTGTACCCCGAAACCCTATTGCAATTGCATGAGTCCCCTGCACTTTCGCGACATATCCTGAGAGCGCTCAAGAATGCAATCAACATTGGTACCCTAAACCCTAAAACCCTAAAATCCCCAAACCCCTAAACCCTAAAGCCCTAAACCCTAAACCCTAAACCCTAAACCCTAAACCCTTAAACCCAAAACCCTGAACCCTCACCCCCCGATCGCCAGAACGACGAAGCCTCACCCTAAACCCTACTCCCATAAACAAGGGGCCTTAAAGATTTTAACAGGGTTTTGGGGCATCTTATACTATAGTTATAAAAAGGAACCTACGTAATAGCATTTGTAATTATTTGGACCCCCGTACTAGACCTGAAGCCCTTAAACCAGAACCTTAAACCCCCAACATGGCTTGACCCCTTCCGATATCCTAGGACTGCACCACCGCTAAGCTGTCGTCCATGCACTTCCACGGCTGGCGCCGCGCCTGTCCAGATGAGTCTTTAAGGGTCAAGGTATAAGGTTTTAGGACTACTTCTAGGATGCCCAGTAGTACCCTTATTCCCTTTTTGTAGTCCTAGGTTCTTTATAAAGTTACCCAATACCAGAAAGAGAGGCCTTTTTATTCTTAGGTTACTGGGTATCCTGGATTTGGTTCCTTTAAGGTTGGGGTTTAAGGATCACTTTCAGGGTTCCTTTACGGTATGCGGTTCGGGTCTTGGGGCTAGAGGTTACTTAAAGGATCATGGGACTTAGTAATTGGGGTTATAATTAAGATAACTACAGTTATAATTACTTATAACCCCACTTAAGGTACTTATAACCTTACTTACTAAGTCCCATGATCCTCCAAGTAATGATTAGGATTACTTTAAGGGCCTGTCTAAGGGTTCCATTAGAAGCCCTATAAGAATTCAGAACCCTAAACCCTAAACCCCTAAAACCCTAAACTCTAAACCCTAAACCGTAGGGTTCAGAGGTTCTTGATTTGGGGTTTAGGGTTTAGGGGTCAGTGGTTTTGCTATTGATATTGAGAGTATGTTTCCAGGGTCCAAAGAGCAGGCAAAGACATGAAACAGGTGTCGGCAGGGATCACGACCATCTTCTTTTCTATCTGCCAGCCCTGATGTAAATAACTTCCTGCATATCCTTAGACCCTAAACCCTAAACCCTAAAGCGGTCCCTCAGCCGCTGTCACAAGTCCCTAAACCTTCAACCCGAACTTCCTAAATCTTAAGCCTCAAGGCCCTAAAGCAGGTGGGTGCTGACTCGTAACGATACATACCTTTCTATGCAGCTTGGAGGTAGGTCTTAGTCTGCTCCCCACGACTGTATCCCCAGCGGCGTTTCACTGCTGTTTTGAGTCATGGCGCATGCGGCAGTAATGGTGAAAGCTGGTGTACTACTACAGGGGCCAATGAAGGAATCTCCCCTGCAAGAACCGAGGCCCCGAAACTTCGATTCCAATCGCAACTGATTGGCTGTAAACTCAACTTTTCAACTTTTGGGGTTCATATAAGGTAGTCGATTCTGAAAGTTTCAACTTTTATTTCCTTGGGTTTTGGGCCACTGAGGCAAACACCTCATACCCCAGAGTTTTCCATCTACGGCCTGCGCCCATATTTGGGGATGCGAGAAAAGTTGTTAGGGTTTATGGTTCAGGCAATCCGGCCTCAAGACGGGCATGTACTACTTGCGCACGACGCTTGGCGCTGTTCTTTGGTACATAGTTCTGTGCTGTACCAATTGTGCCGAGATTGTTAAAGAAGAGCTTTGCAAAAGTTTCAAGTCTTGCAGTGAGTTATATGACCCAACCTTTACCTCAAAATCCATAAGTCCTCCCTCAAACCTAAAACCCCTGGTATAGAACCCTCGCGGAGACCATATGGAACTCCTAGAGGCAAAACCTCTGCAAGCCCTGAAACCTACACCCTGAACCGTGAACGCCTTACTCTATAGTAAACCCCCATAAAGTTGGAAACCGGATTAAGGCCAAATCGTGCTGGGATTCTCTAGACTACTCTTACGGATGGAGGCTTTGAGGTTTCCAACTTCTGGGCTTCTACTGTATACCCTAAACCCAAAACCCTAAACCCAAAACCCTAAACCCTAAACCCTAAACCCTAAACCCAAACCCTATACCCTAAACCCTACACCTGGTAGAACTTAGCCTTGAACCGAAACCGTACAGTTCCCAAAGCCATCCCCCCAATTCGAAAGACTGAACACTAAACTCCTTTCCTACAAAGGCCAGCCGGGCAAACAATATGTTTTTTTTCAAGAGTTCAGGTTTGGGTTTAGGGTTTAGGGTTAGGATTATGGTACTTATGACCTGAAAGGTTCAAGGCTTCGGGTACCTATGGCCTGTAGGTGTTTAGGGTCCCTGTACCTGTGACCTGTACGCAAGACTAGAAATGTAAGGTATAACGGGTTCTAATGACTTTAAACAACCAACTAGGGGGTGCCTACGAACAAAGTTGGTGTGATATAGGGCCCCAAAAAAAGCACATAAGCAAAAATTAGGATAGGGATATCCCATGTAAAACCCCTTATAATGAAGCCCAATAAGGTAGGGATATCCCTATAAAATGCTTATGCTTATGTGCTTTTGGGGGTCCCTATGATACCTGCCCCATGAATCCGTTGCGTACCAGGAAGGCGGCGGCAGATGCCATCAAGTTCACTGTGGATGTCCGTCAGGCTCGTTAAGGGCTTGCGGTCCTCGACCCTGCGCCATACCTTAGCCCCAAGCACCTTTTTAAGGATTTATATAAAGAAATCATATTAGGGAGCCCTAAAAAGGCAGGTTCCTTAGGGTCCAGGTAAGCCCCGTACCCCAACCGTGGAGGTTTCGTCATCACCAGCATCCACCCCCAAGCCTCAAAACCGAAATCTCCGACTCAAAGCTGTGAAGCAAGGCCCTCATCCCTGCGCCCTAAAACGTGAAGCCCAGTATGAATTTTGGCCACGTGATAGTTGCTCAGGGTTTCTAACATGGGTCGTTACTCGTGATCTAGGTCTAGACCATTCCCAGACCCGCGGGAGGATCTAGAAAGTAGATGCCTTAATTTGGGGCCCTATACTACCAAGGGTACATTATAGGAGCCCCCATTAAGGGATCTACTTTTTGGATCCTCTCGGGGGTCTGGGTCTCGGACCCCTCAAGCCTCAAGTCTAAACCCTAAACCACCCAAAGCCTCCAAAATCGCTTAATTAAGGAATATACCATTAAATCATATTAGGGATCCTATTTTGATTTTAAGGAATATTCCTTAATGAAGGGGTTTTGGAGGCTCTGGGCCCTACACCCTAAACACCCTCGTTGCAGACCCTCATGGAGCCGAGCTCTTACCCAGAGGCTCCGATATCCCAAATTCCTTTAAAAGGGGTCTATACCCTCGGCATCTAAGGACTCATATATCAAGGCTTTTGGGGCCAAGGGCCTTATTATATAAGGCTTTTGGGCTATTTTGATGCCCAGGGATAGGGGTTTTGGGGTTCCTTTGAAGGGATCCATAAAAGTTCCTTTTAGGGGATCTACAAGGGAGCTGCAGGGTTTAGGGTCTAGAGATCCCAGAGACTCCAATATCCCTTAATTAAGGAGTAGGGGTTCTTTTAAAGGGATCCTTAAGGGTTTCTTTAAGGGATCTATAGGGTTTAGGATTTAGAGATCCCAGAGACTCTAACATCCCTTAATTAAGGAATATGCCTTAAATTATAGTAGGATCACTAATGTGCTTTCAGGCATATTCCTTAGAAGTTGCCCCCACCCTGTAATAGGGGTATAATAGGAATATAGTAGGGCGCTAATATAATCCTTATAGTCACTATTACAGGGTGGGGGCAGCTTTTGACCTAAACCCTAAACCCTAAACCCTATACCCTGAACCCTAAATCCTAAACACCTAAACCCTATACCCTGAACCCTGAACCCTAAACCCCTAAACCCTAAACCCTATACCCTGAACCAATGTGCTTCCAGGCATATTCCGTAATTGGGGGATCTTGGAACCTCTGGGTATAGAACCCTTTGCCCCCAGCCTATTTCGGGTCCTAGGGTTTGGGGGTTGCCCTAAATCCGTACAGCCCCGTCAGAGAACGCTTAAAGGAGACCCTAAACCCTAAACCCTAAACCGTTGCAGAACCCGTAAACCCTGAAACCTATCGTCTCCTCAGGATTTTTCAGTTGGGTTTAGGGTTTAGGGTTTAGGGGTTTAGGGTTTAGGGTTTAGGGGTTTAGGGTTTAGGGTTTAGGGTTTTTTGGTCATATGGGTGGTTGTCAAAATTAGGGTCCCTTTGTGGGACACGGGGCCACAATGAGCCACGCGCAGCAGGGAGTCCGTCATGCCATAGCCGCATTAGCAGAGACCGGAGCTGATAAGTTGCAGGTCGCCCCATGGGAGTTTCCGAAAATTCGGGGTCCCTTAGGGTTCCTTTAAAGGGGGACTACAAGGGTACTATACGGGTCCCTTTGAAGAGCTACTGTAAGGGTCTAGGGTTTCCGAAACTTAGGGGTACCTTATTTCGGGGTCCTTGTAATAAGGATCCTACTGTTTAGGGTGCTGTATCAGGGTCCTCTATTTTAAGGAAACTCCCATATACGACCCAAGAGAATGTTAAACATATTACTTTTGTTTTGGTTCAAAAGAGGGGTATAGAAACCTCCATAAAGACCCGGTTGAAAGTTTTCGGGGAGCTTTGATGCCCGCCACAGGTGAAGAAGGCTGTGGATGGCTCCCGGGCCGCAACAATCAGGGTTTAGGGTCTCGAAGTGTCTTAGAGTTTAGGGTTTAGGGGTTTAGGGTTTAGCTTTGGGGTTCTTATATGACTTGAGGGTCTTTTATTAGTGAGCGATAGAGGCTTTTATAGTATTATAGGTCTTTAGCACGGGGGCCTGCGTAGGTCGTGTTGGCATTCCTCGAGATTCCTGTTAGAGTACAGGTAGCACCATTGGCTTTAGGACATATCTGGACCCTAAGGAACCTACCTTTTTAGGGCTCCCTAATTTGATTTCTTTTTCTAAGTCCTTAAAAAGGTAGGTTACTTGGGGTTAAGGTATGGTGTGTCAGGTCCTTTATTACCTAAACCTCAAGTACTTGTAAACTCTGAGCCCTGAACCCTAGCCCGAATCTAAACCCGCAACGTTACTTGAAGGTTCATCGAACTTGGCAGCTAGGGTTATTTATAACTAAGGTAACCATACTTATGCTCATTTACAGCCCCAATTAAGGTAGTTCTATAAGCTATAGGGCTTTGTGGGCTGTAGGCACATAGCCTTAATACATAGCGATTTGTAGCTTGGGCCCCACGAAAGTTGAAAGTCGCAGGTCATGCGTTTCAAAGCGAGTTCAGATCTATGAAGTTGCAGTGTGGAGTGCTGTGAAAACAAATCCGATGTGCGGTGCTTGCCTGAAGCCTCAAACCTTAGTCAGCCCCCATGGTTCAAAGCATAAGTTCACTGCTGTCGATAATGATAACGGTGATCCTGATGGCAATGCTTGTCGCTGCTGCGGCGGAGGTGATGGTTCCGATAATGTCAATCTCGCTCATGCATCAAATATAATAAACATATCCAAGTCTGACGAAGTTGAGTCGATGCAGATTTCACCATTATTGACGAATCGTCGTCTCGGTGTTGTCAATCATCACGATTTCGCCTAGTCAATTATTCTTATTATGAAACTATTCTCATTATCTCTATTGTCTATTGTCTATTGCCTCTTGGTCGGCCTGCTTCGTGGGACACTCTGGGCAGTTGGCGGCTTGGCTTGTGCCAGTCCCTAATCCTTAAGCCCGGGTATCTGCTAACAATAGGCGCTTTGTTCGAGTCATAGTCATCGTCATAGCCCCGAAATGCCGGCCTAAACAAAACACCATTGGCAATATTGGCAATACTTATTGGCATTATGTGTGTATTGGTACTTGAATCACCCCTGAGGTAAGTGTCCAACTGGCTGTTAGTGAGGTTTAGTCAAGAGCTCAGTTTACCAAGAAGGATGCAGTCTCTAAGTATTCAGTCGTGTAGTTAACCGAATGAAACATCCCTCCTGTAGATTTGATGCAGGTTCTAGGTTTAGTTCAGGTGTTTGCCCGCCATGATTAAGTATCCATTCGTCCAGGTTTAGTTTTGTCTTTTTGGTTAGTTTCGTCCAGAATTAAACTAATTCAGTGTTCAGTTCGTCCGGATTTAAGTGTTCACTTGTCCAGATTTAAGTGTTCAATTGTCCAGATTTAAGTGTTCTTTTTGTCCAGATTTAAGTGTTCATTTGTCCAGATTTAAGTGTTCAATTGTCCAGATTTAAGTGTTCAGTTTGTCCAGATTTAAGTGTTCAAGTGTTCAATTGTCCAGATTTAAGTGTTCAATTGTCCAGATTTAAGTGTTCTTTTTGTCCAGATTTAAGTGTTCATTTGTCCAGATTTAAGTGTTCTAATTGTCCAGATTTAAGTGTTCATTTTGTCTATATTTAAGTGTTCTTTTGTCCAAACTTAAGTGTTCATTTTGCTACCCAGAACCCCATAAAGAGTTACTGTTAGAGGAAGGGTGTAACTTATAACCTTCCATACCAAGTCCAGCGACCCTTCAAGTAGCCCTAACCCTGGATCCCTCAACCCGAAACTCAGACCCTAAACCTTAAAACCCGAACACCCTAAGCCCTAATCCCTAACACTTTCAACCCTAAACCCCCAAAGTTCCCAAACCCCGAAACCCCCAAAGTTCCCAAACCCTAAACCCCCAAAGTTCCCAAACCCCTAAACCCTAAACCCGAAAACCTCGCAGCTCAGGTGGTAAGCCGAAAGACATGGGATCCAGCACCGATACCTGCGCCTCGGACGGCTACGCGTCCAAGACGGACACGGAGCAAGAGCAGGAGTGCTCGATACTCCTGCAAAATACTCTTGGTACTTGTGACTGAATAGTTGGGAGAGGGCTTTAGGGATAAAAGATAACTTTACATGGAATATGAAAATAGAAGCAATCAAAAGAGTAAAAAACGGTTGATGATAGTGATATTACCAGTAGCATGAACCTAAACCCTAAACCCTAAACCCTAAACCGTTCACATTAGTAAGGAACCCTGATGCGTAGTATAGGGTCTGGGGATGTCTGGGGCTTGGTGTTCTACAAAGCTTCTAGTGGTCTTTGTGGGGTTTGGGGATCCTATGGGTGGTTGTCAAAAAGTTATGGTCCCTTTGTGGATCCCTAATATAGTACGGCACCTAATATGTAGGGTGCCCAAGAAGGGACCATCATTTTGACGGTGTGGTGTCGTCCCGGACACCACGGCGGAGTACCTCATGGCGCCGAGCGTAGCTGCCCCGCGACGTGCACTGACAACGCTCGTTGCCAATGGACTTGGATACAGCCCGTCCAGATCAGCGTACCACCCGCGAGGCTCTCCAACAACGCCAAGGCCACTTGCGTCGTCTGGCCCGGTACAGCCCATCCACAGCAACAGACCACCCCCAGCGACTCCCATCAGCCAGCCTTCTCCAAGAACGCCACGGCCGCTCGAGTTTTCCATTTGCGCGCACTGTTCATGCGGACGCTTCGCCACAGCCAGAGGATTGCAGCAACGCCGTGCTCGCGTGCTTCCACGGCCTGGCATAAGCACCCCTATGGGTGTTCAAGGGCGATCAGGCTGATGGCTCGAGCGTTTAGAGGCTTTGCAGGGGATTTTGTGGGGGGTCAAGGCGAAGAGAGCATGGTTTAATGTTTAGGGTTTAGGTTTCAGGCGTTGCTTTACCTTTCATTTGTGTGGGTGGGTGAATCTGTTTTTGGTTTCAGCTACGCTGACCTCAATCTACTCGCACTCAGCCAGCCCTGCAATCCATGCCCAAACGCGCTACGCACACGGGCAAGTGAAACCACAACCGCAGCAGTATCTGCGAGAGGGAGAAACGCGGAGTGAAGCTCAGCGTACCCTCAACCCTAAACCCTAATTACACCCTAAACCCTAAATCCTGAACCTAGGCCATTAATCCTAAACCCTACACGCTGAACCCTAACAAACCCTAAATCCTAAACCTGAGACGCTTAATCCCAAACCGAAACCTTAATTACACCCTAAACCTTAAATCCTGAACCCTAATTTCACCCTAAACCCTAAATCGCTTAACTGTAAACCGAGACTTTAATTGCACCCTGAACCCTAAATCCCAAACCCCAATTACACCCTGAACCCTAATTACGCCCTAAACCCTAAATCGCTTAATCCTAAACCGAAACCTTATAGTGAACTCCAGAAAGTTGGAACCTAGATTTAGGATGATTCATGCTGGGATTCCCTATACGTTACTTTACGGACATGCAGGCTAAGGATGTTCCAACTTTCTGGCATCTACTACCCTAATAACACCCTACACCCTAAATCCTATACCCTAATTACACCCTAAACCCTTAAATCCTAAACCCTAGCTACACCCTAAACCCTAAATCGCTGCATCCTGCACCGAAACCGAAACCTTAGTTCAGGAGGCCATTCGCCGCCTGAAGGATGCGGCTCCCAAGTTCTCCTGTGTGGGTTGCAGTGCCTGAGGCGGGAGGGTTTAGGGTTTATAGTGAACCCCGGAAAGTTGGAACATGGATTTAGGATGATTCATGCTGGGATTCCCTATACTTTACTTTAAGGGCATGGGGATAATGATGTTCCAACTTTCTGGCTTCTACTGTAGAGTCTAGGGATCAGCGTTTGGAGTTTAGGGCGTTTAGGGTCTAGAGTCTAGGGATTAGGGTTTAGAGTTTAGGGTTCAGAGTCGGGGTTTGGGGTTTAGAGTCTGGGGTTTAGGGTTCAGAGTTTAGAATTTAGGGTTTAGAGTCTGGGGTTTAGGGTTTAGAGTCTGGGGTTTAGGGTTTAGAGTTTAGGGCTTAGGGTCTAGGGCTTAGGGTTTTAGAGTCTGGGGTTTAGGGTTTAGAGTTTAGGGTTTAGAATCTGGGTTTAGGGTTTAGAGTTTGGGGTTTAGGGACCCCCCCCCCCGAGTATCCTGAATAGAGCCCTTATGGATTTAATAATGGGAATTGCGGGAATAATGGAGGGTAGTTGGGGGTGCTGGGAGGGTTTAGGGCTTAAGCAGGGTTACCCGAAACCCGAACTCCTAACTGAACAAGAGCTGTAAACCCTGGGGCCTTAACCTTAGCCCCTGACCCACAACTTGTTTAGTGTTTACGCTTAAGGGCTGCTTGCAGGGTTCTTTCTAAGGCTCCATGTACCCATATAGTATATACTTAGGCCTTAAAGTACCTATATAGGGACTCCTTTAACGCTCTGGCCTCTACTACAAAGGTACATAGAGCCTTTGGGTTTATGGTCTCCAGGGCCTTACCTGTTCCTTGAAGGGCCACTTTCAGGTGGCGAAGGAAGGGCGGAGGGTTTAGGTTTCAGGCTTCAGGGTTTAGGGGTTTAGGGTTTACAGTTGGGTTTAGGGGTTTAGGGTTTTACGGTTGGGCTTAGGGCTTTAGGGTTCAGACTAGGGCTGAGGGTTGAGAGTGTATGGCATGGGTGGCATCGGTTGGCGTTTAGGAATGTTGAAGACCAAGGTTTTATTTAGGTACTTTACATTTCGGCATAACTTTGTCTTCAAAATCCCAAATCCAAAACCGTAAGCAAGTGTATCCTAAACCCTAAACCCCAAACAAAGCTATCCTTGTCCTTCATGTTTAAACTCAGAAGGAAGCCTTGTAGCAGGAGCCTCGCCGGACCCTGAAAGGGAGCCTAACCAAACTAAAAACACCCGGTTTAGGGTTTTAGGATTCTAGGGTTTATGGTTTAGGGAATGAAGCCTGAATACCCAGATCTTCCAATGTCCGCCAATGTCCTGCCAGTAAGGACTGTACCTTAACCTCAAACTATATTCGGGATCCTGCATTAAGTTCAAGATATATCCTGAATAAAGGGCTTTTGGAAGATCTGGGTAACTGCCACTATGATCTCGTAGGGTTCCTCAGTAGAACTGTACTACAGCATACCGTCAAAACCCTAGTCAAATTATTGAGCTTCCCCTTATAGTAGGCTGTCGAAGCATCTTTTGGGTATCGAGAAACCCTAAACCCTAAACCCTAAACCGTTCATATGAAGGGTTCAGGATCCAGGGGTTTAAGGGATTCGGCAAGGTGCCCCAACTTTTCCGACACACCTTCCCCCTAGTAGTAGAGCAGGCAACCTTTATCCTTTTGTGGGTAGTATGGTCCCTATATGATCCCTATGTGACCAAAAAGGTTAACCTTTAGTTCCCCATGATACCCGACAAGTAAGTCCCTCAAGGTTTAGTGAGCTCTGAAGTGCTTAATCTCAAATCGCGAAAGCCTTAAATCCAAGAACAGCCGTTTAGTGTTTAGGGTGTAGGGTTTAGGAACAGCCATTCAGAACCAGCTGGAACGAGGGTCTTGACTCTAAAGACTGTCAAAGCCTAAACCCCTAACATCCTGAACCTGTAACCTCTAACACTTCCAACCCGGAACGCACAACGGAAGAGCCTCATTTTAGCCATAGCCAGACCTGTAGCTGGAAAGGCCTTCCTTTTCAAGGAACTATCTATCTATCTATCTATCTATCTATCTATATATATACACACATATACATATATAGAAAACATACACAGGAACCCTAAAATGATACATCTATATATATATATATATATATATATCTATATATGGTCAGGCGTCTGGCGTTCCCAGCCCCCCCCCCCCCCCCCCCCCAATGGTATGGTCTAGGGTGGGGGGGGGGGGGGGGGTGGCGTGTGCGGACAGGGGTCGGGGCCGTTGGAGCTGCCACTGGATGGTGGGATGGTGCTGGCGGCCAGGGCTCACACGCAAGCCCTTCGCAAGCAAGCAGTAAACCCTATAACGCAGCGCGTGCCCTTGTTTTGAGTAACCTTAAGTTGTACTTCCAACCCTAC